CAAGTCACGGTGCTACCATCAAAGAAGAAGGATATGAATTCTAGAAGGAGACCACAGTCTTTTTGAGACCTCAGTTGTGATGATAAACAACAAATGGAAGATATAGGTGCAAGAGGATAGCTTTCTCTGGGCAGTGACACCAGGCTGTGTCGGATAAGTGGTTCCTGGAGACGCTGGCCCATGGCTACGCACTAGAGTTCGAAAGAGTTCCAAGCAACGTTTCTTGGAGATCTCAAGGGAAAGATCACCAGGAAAAACACAAGATGATGTTATAGGCCATCTAACATCTGTTGGACATTGGAGTGATAGAGATGGTGCCCGAGACAGAGAGGTCGCTCGGAATTTATTCCATCCCTTTACGATCCCCAAGAAGAATGGAAACACTAGGGCCATATCGGACTTGAAGTGGCTCAACAAACATGTGCAATCACGAAAGTTCAAGATGGAAAAGTTGAGGTCCATCTTTTTCCTCCATACATGCAGGGGACTTCATGGTCTCCATAGACCTGGCGGAAGCCTATCTGCACATCCTGACAAGGGATAATCACAGGAAATTTCTAAGGTTCACATATCACAGCAAACATTTTCAATATTGAGCCTCGCCCTCTGGACTCAAGTCCTCGCCTCAGATATTCTCCAAGGTCCTGGGGTCACTAGTGGCCTTCCTAAGTCTGAGAGGAGTGGTCCTGTTTTCCTTACTTGGAAGACGTTTTGATCCAGAGTCCAGTCACCAGGCGAGCCTACACTTGGACTTTATAATCCAAGTACTACAGGGACGTGGTTGTGCTATTAACAGGGAGAAGAGGACCCTGGCGCCAACTCAAGTAATTACACACTTGGGAGTGTGGATAGACACAAGACAGGACAGGGTTCTTTTGTTCCAGGAGCGGTTAGTAAAATGTCTCATCATTCATCAGGTCCTGAACATTTAGACACTGGAGGTGATGACCCTAGCAGGTCTCCTGGGCATGATGGTGTTGTGCCAAGATCTACTACCGTGGCCTAGAGTTCATATGAGACCCCTGCAGCACTTTCTTTATTCACTACCAGAAGGAAATAGACTACAAGATAGTCAAGAAGGTAGAGTTACCACAGTCTGTGTGGACAGAGTTACAGTAGTGGCTAGTTCCGACTCGGTTCACAGAAGGGATACTTCTAAGTGTACCCCATGGGACAAATGGTCAAGACACCTGGTCGAAGTCGGAAACATCCAAGAGCATCAACTTCCTGGAACTTGGGACCATAAAGTTGACCCTGGCTCGCCTGCAGACGTAACTGGTAGACAGTCATGTTCTGATTCAAATGGATAACATGATGACGAAAGTCTATATTAACAGGTAGGGAGACATGCAATCCCAATGGCTACACTGGGAAGCAATGCAAGTGATGCAATGGGCAGAGTAGCAAGTGCTGTCCTTAAAGGCCACACATATGGTAGGAAGAGAAACAAGTTAACAGAGGGACGCCTTCCAACAGATCAGCGAAAGATTTGGAAGGCAGAGGTGGATCCTTTCACGTAGAGACAGACCGTCAAGTTAAAAAGAAAGTTTGCATCCAAAACTCACATGAAAGGGGCACTAGGAATGGACGCCCTGTTCCTAGCATGGCCAAGAACTCTACTCTATGCCTTGTCGTTCCTGACTCTAACTCCCAGAGTGGTACATCAGGCGATAGATGAAAGAGCAGATGTGATTCTGATGGCACTCTTTTGCCCACCGAGGGCATGGTTCCAGGACCTCATGAGCCTCTCCAGACAGGATCTATGGCAGCTGCCTCTCAGACGGGACCTAGAGGAGACAGCAGCTCTAGGATATGAGACAGAGGTGGTTTCCATGCTATTGGCATCCAGAAAATCTTCTATGACCAAGATATATGACAGATCCTGACAAAC